ATTATTCCGCCACTTTTTCAAATGCCTGTAATGAGTGCACTATCAAAAAGTAGCAGCCCTGTGCTCAGCAGAGTTTATTACAATATAAAGGTCATCGGTCAAATGATGCGGCAGCCATCTTGGTTTTTGCAACAATTTTTGAAAATATTCAGAAACCTGCTTCTCCAGAACCACTGTATAAATTGTGGTGTGAGCTTATGCTTTGCTCTGTTGCCACATGTGTTCAGTACAGCTCTATTGGTCACATGGTTTGGCAGCCATTTTGGATTTTGCAATATTCTGCAAATAACAAACTCTGAAACCTTTTATCAGAATTATTCACAACTTTGCACATATGTCCAGGGTGACCTCTTCTACCACAGTTGTAAAATCAGGCCCGATCCCGAAATCAATATAGCCGCCACAAGCCAATCACTTTTAACATTGCATTAAATTACATAAACATGCCTTTCCACCACTATTGAGGTATGTTAAATTTGTTATGCATATGATAACTTAAAATCCTACAATATGGCTTCCAAATGTCACCAAGGTCGGCGGCCATTTTGAATTTGGAACAATATTACAATTCATGAAAACGTTTGCAGTTGTACATGTTTATTGTGATAATATAACTTTGTTATTGATCTCTCCAAGTACATTATCTTCTCATGTGCTATAACCAGCGCTAATGCTTGGCCACCTTTATTGCTGCTTGCAGCTATATTTTATTATTCCGCCGCTTTTTTCAATTGCTTGTACTAAGTGCACTATTTTTTAAAAACTCATGAAACTTTGCACAATGGTAGAGCCCTGCGCTCTGCAGAGCTTATTGCTATATAAAGGTCATAGGTCACATGTGTCAGCCATCTTGGTTTTTGCGACAAATTTTGTGAACTATTCAGACGCCTGCTTGTCCAGAACCGCTAAAGCTACAGATGTACAACTTGCTTTTTTTAAAACTTTATTGCTGGGAGGGGGAGGGGGTGTGCCAGAGGAGGCACGCAGGACCGGGGCAGCAGCAAAGATACAGGGGGAGGGGGGGTCAGCGGGTGAATACAGTCAAAGTGGTCCCTCCTCCCCGCTGGTGCCAGCTGCAGTGGTCTGTGTCCACGCTGCCTCTGCCGAAACAGGCGGGGAGAGCAGCGGGGATTGAAAGGGACACATACCGCTGCAGGCAGCACCAGCGGGGAGAAGAACAGAGGAGCAAAGCGGCGGCAACTAATGAGAATTGTTGCCAACGATTCTCATTATCGATTATAATTGATTTATTGTTGCAGCCCTATAAATTACATTACCCAGCACCAGAAGGTAGTCTACACCTGCCCCAAGGTAAAATGGCTGGCAGGGCTTCTGCTGCAGCCATAAGGTGGTCTACAGTGCTAGTCAAACCCAGCAGCAGAGGAGTTCAGGGAGGGAAAAAAATCCCGGTATCCACTGACCTCTCACCACCTCCCAGGGTAAGAGGGTGAAAGGAGAGTCTGTAACATACTTACTGATCCCTGCAAGGGTACCATCTCCCAAGACAAGCCACTTCCCACCACAGTGAGGGCACTGTCTGCCAGGGGGGCATTGTGACACATATGTTTTCGCCCAACACATGAACTATAAGGGTGTTCAGCGGTCTGTTTGACCACTGAACGCCCCACAAGGCAATTAGCCTTGTGAAGCCCTAATTGGCTAAAGGCTTGCACCTGACCACAGGTCAGGTGCAAGACTTTGCCCAATCATGGCTCTTACAGAGTACTGAGCCCTGATTGGCCAAAGTCATGTTGACTTTGCCCAATCATAGTTCACTGCTAAGTCCCAGCAGCACACTATATAAGGCTGCTTACACGGCAGTCCTATAGCGACGTTCTCTATCAGAGTTCTGTACTATAGCAGTCAGTCATACAGGTCTAATATAGCAGTCCATTATTGCAGTCCATTATCGCAGTCCATTATCGCAGTCTATTGCAATAAGCATCATTTCGGAAATGCCAATGTGAGGCAGACCCTCCCATGCAGCAATAAGAGGGCAAGCACATGGGTGGGACAGCGTCTAAATGCCAGTTTGGCCAAATTGCTAGATTTACAACTGCTGCCTTTCCATCTGGTGGACTCTGCCCCCTTTCCGTGAGTTTGCAGGATGTGCTGTACCACAGTGGCAGGTTCACAAACACCAATTCTTTTCACGTAAGGCCATTCCAGTTCTGTACCAGCATGTGGAAGGCAATATTTTGGCCTTGTTGGACAAGGCAGTCAGCAGCAAGGTTCACATTACCGCTGACATGTGGTCTAGCAAGCATGGTCAGAGACATTATATTTCCTTCACTGCACACTGGGTAACTCTGCTTGCAGCTGGGAGTGATCCAGGACGGGGCTCCGTGCTGGAGCTTGTTCAGCAACCACGTCTCCAAAAACCTGATGTGAGATCTGTCTGCTCCACCCCCTCCTCTTCGTCCTCCACGATGGCCTCTTCTGCAGAATTATCCGGTGAACCAGCAGTTCACCGTAAGCGTTCAAGGGGCTAAGCAACGGGTCAGACAAAAAGATGCCATGCAGTGCTTGAGCTGGTTTGTCTAGGGGACAGGAGCCACCACGCCAGCTTTAGGCGGGAATGGTTGTATGTGACAATGGCAGCAGCCTTCTCTCCGCCCCACACCTGGGAAAGTTAAGGAATGTACCATGCTTGGCACACGTCCTCAAGTTGGTGGTACAGCATTTCTTACACAGGTAACCAGGGCTGCAAGATCTTCTGAGGCAGACCAGAAAAGTCTGCAGCCATTTCAGGCGCTCATTCCCAGCCAGTGTTCGTCTGGCTAAAATTTTACGTGAATTCAACTGCCTACAAACCGTCTGATTGTGACATGCCCACCAGGTGAAACTTCAGTTTGGCAATGCTGCAGCAGCTGCACAAGCAGCAGAGGGCCATCAACGAGTACCTGTGCGAGCATAGCACAAGGACAGGCTCAGGGGACCTTGGCTTTTTTTCCCACGCCAGTGGCTGCTGATAAACGATGCATGCACTGTATGTCACCATTTGAGGAGGCGACGAGGATGGTGAGCCGTGACAATGCATGCATCAGTGACACTATCCCTGTTGTGTTCCTGCTGCAGCATACTCTGCAGGGATATATGGATAGGGCACTTGAGGCAGAACAGCGGGAGGAAGAGGATGACGTCCTTACCTCTCAAGGCCCTCCCTATGCAGAAACCATTCCTGCGGGTCCACAGATCACACAAGAGGAGGAGGAGGATTATGGCAGCCATGCGGGCATTGAAGCAGAGGATGACATAAGGCAGTCTTCAAGGGAGGGTTTTCTGTCACCAGAAACCTGGGAGGAAGTTGTGCATGATAGTGTCGTCCTCAGTGACCCTGAAGACTCGGAATCTCATGCCGCCTCAAACTTACGGTGCATGGGCTCCCTTATCCCACAAAGCCTGAGAAACGACCCCAGGATTCGTGGTATCAAGGAGAGGGATCATTACCGGTTGGCAACCCTTCTTGATCCACGTTACAAGCGTAAAGTTGCAGAGCTCATCCTGCCCTGAGGGAGCACAGGATTAAAAAACTTGAGGACGCTTTAAAGAGAAACTTGTATAACACCTTTCAAGACATTGGTTGGTTACCAAGTCATGAAAGAGGGGCTTCTGAGGCTTCGGTTGGTCAAAGGAAGAGCGGTGGAGAAGGGGGTCGCCTGACTGATGCCTTTAGACATTTTTCAGTCCTCAGCGCTCAGGGATGTTAACTTCAGGCACCCATCGGCAGCATCTGCATCATATGGTGCAGGATTACCTTGAGAATAGATCACTGGCCAGAACTTACCCAATATGCCATGGAGCTACTGGGCTGCCCTGCATCTACTGTGCTTTCCGAAAGGACGTTCCGTGCTGCTGGAGGTTTTGGGACAGATAAAAAAAAAAGAGTGTGTCTGTCCACAGACTCCGTTGACAGGCTGACATTTATCAAAATGAATCAGTCCTGGTCAGCAGCAGCTATCAATCCCCTGATGCAGATGTAACCGAATACATTTGTGGGGATCGGGGATCTCTGGAAGACTACCTAGGCTGCCTAACTTTGGGGGCAATTATTCCATCTTCAAATAATGTTGTTGGTGTAGTGCACCGCCAACGACCAAGGCCCAATTTTTCCGTACCCGCATGTGACAGGTGCATATCATTTGAATTTTTAGCAGCAGGGTTCAATCCTGCACTCGCCAAGAATACCTCTGAAGCGTTATGGTGTGAAGGCACTTGCCAAAACTAAAGGCCCAATTTTGTGGTGCACCTGTGTGACAGGTGCATATAATTTGAATATTTTACAGCAGGGTCCAACCCTGCACTCGTCAAGAATAACCCTGAAGGGTTACGGTGTGAAGGCACGCCAACACTAAAGGCCTAATTTTAAAGCACCTGTTGTTACTTTCATTCAATGCCTGCAGAAGAGGCACCAGTATTTACCCAAAAAAAACCTTTACCAATGTTTAACACTGTACCGAGTGTCTTTCACAGGCAGTTTAAGGGGACTACCCACATTGACTTGCATTGAGTCTGAGTTCAAAATGTATAGATGTTCCAAAGTTCGAGTTTTGTCAAGTTACGTATTCATGAAAGTGGCAGAGATTCAAGATCTTTACTGTGTCCTTCAAATGAACAGAAAAGGGTATTTATTCAAGGGATACATTGATACTCGTACTCCTTTACAAAACAATGGTTAGCCTCATCTTGAGTATGCATTTCAGTTTTGGTCACCAACCACAAAAGGGATATTCTCCACCCCTCATCAAATCAGAGAATGCCTAATATTCATTGACATCTCGTAAATCTCCCCATGACTAGTTCCCAATCCAAGTCAGATTTCTGGCATGCTAGGAGTCATTGATGGATGCTAAGAGTTTTGCTTTACATTGTGGTCATTACTGTAAAATAAATCAGGCCAAGTTAAGCAAGTAAATTACAAGCCAAAGGAAGAACAATATACCTAATGAAATAAATGTTAAAAGGATTATGAGAATCATCGTACTTATCTAAATGTTTACCTGAAGTGGGAGGAATGCTTCCAACATAACACACTGTTCCATACTCGCCATCACAAATTATTCGTCTACCGATGGGTTCACTGGGAATGACCTCATCCTTCATTTTATCAAAATTTGCACACACCTAAAATGTATGCGTTATACAACACACACACAAAACAAAAACAAAAAAAATAAGTCAATGTCCAATAAGGCATTATTTATACATGTTTTCAAACCCTTTTAGCCATCTGCTCCCCGGAAAGCCTGCAGTCACAGCATTTATTAGCTAGGGCATATCCACATAATTGCAATAATAGCTTTTAAGTAGATGTAAGGCCACGCCTTAAAAATAAACTTTTTACCTCAGACTCAGAAAGCTGCCTTGGTCAGTTTATAAAAATAGATGGATGCCCCCTTCCCCAGTATATTTAGTCTAAGGCGATATAGCAGAAAGGAATACTTCTCGGCTCCTGCTCAAGCCCTGGAATGTGGGCAGGTTCTCAACATCCCCATGTTCAATGTAAGACAGGTGAGGTGAGGTGCACAACCAGAAAAGAAGAGTACCTTTATGTCAACAGCAGTAAATGCTGGAACTGGAAGCAAGGAAGCTTTCAGGAATTAGGAATAAATGAAGTGGGTTATGGAGGATTTTAGCAGGCAGTACACAAGTATACAGTTGTGTGAAAAAGAAAGTATGCCCTCTTTGAATTCTATGGTTTTACGTATCAGGATATAATAAAAATCATATGGTCAAATGAATGGGCAGCAACAACTGCTTCTCTAGGATCATTGCTGATGTCTTTTCTCCTTGGCATGCCTCAGACTGTTAAGGTGATTCCGCGATCGTACGATAATCGGCAGGTGTATGGGCAGTGTGCGACTGCATCTACTGTACGGTCGCACGACTTTCGTCTTCCTAGCACGCTGGAAAACCCGCCAAAAATCGTACGATTTTCGGCGGGTTGGTAGCGTGCTCGGAAAACGAAAACCGCAAGCGCACACTGCCCGCTCAGCATTGCAATAATCGGCAAACCCTCAGCGGGGAGGGCTTGCGATGACCGCAAGTACGATCTGCTGTCCAAGATGGGCAGGTTGTACGAAATTTTAAGGGTCTTACAACCATCGCACAACAAAAGTCGTGTGATGATTGTAAGGTGTATGGCCAGTTTTATAGAGGCGGCCACACTTGCTGATGATCAATTAATCATGAGCATTTGATTAGCAGCACCTGGTGCTACTTAGCCCTTTAATTCCTATGGAAGCAGTAAGGGGGTACTTAGTTTTTCACACATGGCTTCTCCATTTTGGCTATTGATATCTATTTTGTTTAAAAATAATCAATATGGTGTAATATGTCGTCTTTTTGTTCATCTGAGGTTGTATTTACCTAATTTTAAGGCGTGCTAAGGACGGGGTGGTAAAGTTGGCTTCAGGAGTGGTCACGTAGAGCTCACTATTGTGCTAAATTCCCCAAACTACCACGGGGGCTTGTAACCCCCCCATGTGATTACAATGAAGTATAAAAAAAAAGTTACATAAAATTAAATAAAAAATACCAAAAAAAAAAAAAACTGAAGTCCCTAGCCACTGCATGCATGCTAACGGTCGGCTGCACACAGGGCTTTAGGCCGGGGCCCCCGCTGCACCCCCTTCCCCCCACCACACTGAGCCAGTCACACTGTTATTATACATTTATATAGCTCTGACATATACCACAGTGCTGTACAGAGAACACAGCCAGTTACATCAGTCTCTGTACAGAGGAGCTTACACTCTAATGTCCCCCCACAGTCACGCACTATGATTATACATTTATAATCATAGCAGTGCTGTACAGAGAACACTGAGCCAGTCATATCAGTCAAGCTTGGAATGATGGAAGTAAAAAAATAAATAAAAGTGTGGTGTGCAATATAGTGAAATGGAAAGTGTAAAATTATACATCAATCAATGCAGAATGGCACCAGCAATAGAGGAATATAGCAAATCCCAGCAACACATTATAAATACAGTGTATAATGTATTGCTGGGATTTGTAGTCCTCTATAGCTGATGGTACATATATAGCGCAATGCACCATCAGCTATAGAGGAATACAACCAATCACTATCCCAGCAAAACATTTATACAGCATGTGGGGGAAAAGTGCAGGCAGTCTTAATTGCACACTCTTCAAGCAACTTTACTTTCTTCCCCTGAGATCTTGGGACTGTCGGCAGCTGCCGTTCCCCCACATTGCGGTCTCCCTGCAACGACGTGATCATCTTGGCGGGCAGTGTTTTAGTAGGCAGCGGTGGGAGAGAGCTCAGATCTGGGTGAGGCGGGGAGGAGGTGCGGCATGAAGCGTGCGTGGAGCCGCGAACAGGGGCAACTAATCGATGATGGAAGACGTTGACAACATTTTCCATCATCGATTTTTAGGGATGCACCGATACCACTTTTTTAAGACCGAGTACCGGTACTTTTGATCAAGTACTCGCAGATACCAATTACCGATACTTTTTCTTAAAGGGACAGGTCACATTTTTTCTAAAGCAATACAAACTAATGCTTTAAGGTCACTTTCTTAATATTATGATTCATGAGATGACGAGGAGCATGATGCCGGCTTCCCGGCCAATCAGAATCCCGGGCGATGCATCATTACACGGCGCAGGGGCTTCTGGATTTGCTAGCTTCCTGACCAATCGAGAAGCCGGGCAGCGCGTCATTGCACGCTACCCAACTTCCTGATTGGCCGGGAAGTCGGCTCCATGCTCTCTCATCACAAGTGACGAGAGAGCATGGAGCCGTTTCCTGGCCAATCAGGAAACCGGGCAGCGTGTAATGATGCGCTGCCTGGCTTCCTGATACAGGAAGTACTCGTGCTAGGTATCGGAGCATTTGGGCGAGTACACCCAAATGCTCGGTATCGGCGAGTACAGCCAAATACTCGATACTAGTATCGGTATCGGTGCATCCATTTAATAGTGTCCCCAAATGACGTGTCTGGAACAAACGGCAATCAACATTGAAACCTGGATGCAACTGACCTGTCTTTCACATACTATGAATATGTAGACAAATTCATAGTAAATCTTAGTTGTATGTACATATATACCACACACTTCTGCTATATTAAAGATGATAGGCAAGGATTTCTAGCACGGCAGTAAACATTATTAGCTGTCTTCCCAGGGAGAGACAAGCCAGCATATTTGTTCTTACAATGCTGCACGCACATACATACATAGAATATATGTAACATATGTACACATATATATATATATATACACACACACACACACACACATACACACATAAATATATACACACACACACACACACTGAGTGGCCAGATTATTATGATCATCTGACGTTTGTAGGCAAATTAGCTATTTCGCAATGAAGTTGCTAGAGGGCCAGACCATTATAAATAGGGAAGCAGGTTGTTTACCACGACAGTAGAAGTGATTTTTTACTGAAGATATGGGTAAACAACGCGATTTAAAAGCCTTTGAACGCGGGGTGATTGTTAGTGCTCGGAGCCATGGAGCGAGTATCAGCAAAACAGCAGAATTAGTTAAATGTTCAAGAGCAGCTGTTAAAAGTGTTTAAAGACTGGACTGTCAGACGAAAATCTGGGTCTGAATGCGCAAATTGTGGCCGTCAGCGACTAGTCAATGTTAGGGCAGAACGGAGTGGCAAGACTGGTACAAGACAACAAAAGGGGAACAGTGCATCAAATTACTGCAGATCTTAATCAGGGATCCTCTCAAATGATCTCTGAACGCACTGTTCGCCGTACACTGAATCGTATGGGATATGGAAGCCGAAGGCCTGTTCGAACACCTTTCCTGTCTGCAGTTAACAAGATAAAACGTCTCCAATTCACACAGGAACACAAGGATTGGACAGTCGAGCATTGGAAAAAAGTCACGTGGTCCGATGAATCACGTTTCCAGTTGCATCACGCAAGTGGAAGAGTGAGAATTTGGCGGAAACAGCATGAAAGCATGCACCCCACATGCATGAGTACAACCCTTCAAACTGGTGGGGGCAGTGTTATGGTTTGGGGCATGTTTTCCTGGCATGATTTGGGCCCTTTAATCCGTGTGGAACAACATAGCACAACATACCAAACTGGCCCCCTGTTGCATGAAGGGTCGTTCCCCTGAGGAGCAGACCCACCCAGGTGAGAATGAAACCCATTGCGAAACCTCACCTGAGCAGTTTAAGGAACTATAGAAGAGCCCATTAACATTTCTGTAAAGGCAGCATTAGCTCCTGTTATATTATAGGCGTCTCTGTATGTAGCCTTTTATCCCCCCCAAATATGAATTATTAGTTGTCTTATTCTGGTGGGATAAAGTTATAGCATATCCCCTTATTTGTTTCATCAGCGTATGACGAATACCTAGAGCCTTATCAGGTTTTAACCCTAGAGGGAAAAATGAGGCTCCAGTGATAAGGAAAAACCAAATACATAACAGTGCTGCCCAAGTGGCAGGTACGCCAAGATTGTCTGGAGGTGTCCACCAGTGCTGTTAGAATGGTCAATCACCTGTGTAGCAGATCCACCCAGGTGAATTGAAATTCACCGGACAAAACTCACCTGAGTAGCAAGATCAAATTTGGTGCAGTCAGGGAACTGCAGAAAAAAATCCCTATTCTGTAAAGGTAGCGCAGGCTTCATCTATAGTATAGATGTTGTGCAAGGATCTCTATGCGTCGGTTCTCATCACAGCATGGTATATCCAATTATTTGACTATTCGGCGTATGCCGAATACATAGAGCCTTATCTGGTTTAACCCTAGTGGGGAAATCAATGCTTTTGTTGTATAAGGGCAAAATATAACAGCGCAACCCAAATGCCAGGAATTACTCCAGATCATCTGGAGATTTTCACCAGCGCAGACAGCAAGGTCATTCACCTGTGGAGCAGCCCACCCAGGTGAAATTGAAAAATGGAAAAACCTCAACCTATACCAAATACATAGAGCTTTATCAGGATTAACCCTAATGGGAAAGCAAGCCTCTTGCAACATAAGGGCAAAAATATAACCGTGCAGCCCAATTGACAGTAATTGCTCCAGATTGACTGGAGGTTTCCCCCAGTGCAGACAGCAAGGTCATTCACCTGTGCAGCACCCACCCC